TCCTAGTTGCATTGGTCCTCTTTAGGTCGGTGTCCGTAAGCTCGGCCAATACGCCAGGTGCATCGCCTCGTGTCCTCGGCTTACGTCCGTCAACCTGGCGAGCGCCATGGCGGTTTAGAGGCTTAGAGGCTTGAGGAGTAGGCACTGCGTGGAAAAAAACTCAACTTTTGGGAAATGAGGTGTGTTTGGGCAAGGCTGTCCATCCCTGCCCAGAGACTGCAAAGTCTTAAAGCTGTCTTTGGGGCCAAGCGGCTGAAAGCTTTTCCTGTGATCTTCGCATGACACTTTATAGGTCAAGGGTTGTCTCCCTTGGCGTGATCTGAGCAGTTGCCCAGCGCCTTGCTTTTCTAACCTATTCCCAGCCCGGCCCGACATGGCATTTCCAATTTGCAATGCATGGCTCTTCAACTTGCTCGTACGTCACGCGTTTCGTGTCGAACTATTGGCCGCGATACCAGTTTCCTAGCTCATGAGGCAATGGGCAATGGGCTGTGTGGGGCTGTGTTGAAAACATGTCCTTTGTTGGTACAGTATATAGCTGGTTTGTTGTGTGCACGTGGGTGTGTGTTTGTGTGTGTTTCTGTATTTTGACACGAGCGCAGTGCACATTGTGGACAGGCTGGCTGACGACAGCCAATGTTCAAAAAAATGTTATGCTTTTTGAGTGCCATTGCATGTGGAACATTCTTGTTTACCACTGCGTGTGGACCCATGATGGTACAAGAGAGTGACGCAACAACATGATGATCAACAACAAGATGAGAGAGCATGAAGTTCGACAAGTGTGCCCAGCATGCCCTTACTGCAAGGCCAACGTCCACTCTGTATGAAGCATCTGATGTGGCAGTGTCCTGCACCTCTCTTGTTAAAGGATCGGCTGTCGGCCAGACCCACCGGATGATGAGCTTCCACTGCGGTTTGCTTGGCCAGCTCACAACGGCAGCACCTCATATGGCTCGCGTCTATGCCGTCGTGCGTGAGGAGTTCCCTTGAATGGCAATTTGGCTGTGGTGGCCTGAACGGGCTTTGGCTTCATTCTGAGGCATCAAGCCTTTTGAACCTTCAACTGTGGACGCAGAATACCTCGGCGCTGAAACGTTGCAATAACTGAAAACCGATGCATACGCATCGCATCGCATCGCATCGCATCGCCCATCCTTCCAAAGACGTTAGTCCCACAATGGCTAATACAGGCAGCAGCTTCGCGATCCATTGCCACCCCTCCAACCTAATGACACTTCACATCAGACATCGAGACTTTACCACACCACGAATCATCACACTAAATTTCTCCGCATCACACATCACCATGCACATCCATGCACCAGCCATACATTCGCGACAAGAAACAACATCACACCCCGCAGCTCTGCCAGAGATTACCTGCTATAGTTATATTGTTTGCCCCTGCCTTTAGTTACCTTCCAAGTTTGCTCGCACATGTTTCCATGGCTCGAAGCTTGCACATTCGTTGAATAGATTCAAACCCTCAAGAGCAAAAAAACATGCAAGAGAATTGCAGTTCATGGTTCCATGCTTTGCCTTCGAGCCAGTTTCCCAGTAGATAAAGGCTCCGGCTAGGACCATGACCTTGTCAAAGCAAAAAAAGGCAGCTCAAGAATCAGCCGCGGGAGATAGTCCGTTATGCATGGTGCTTCTGGCAAGCCAAGGTGGTGGCCACTGAAAGAAGGCCAAAGCAAAAGCTCGGTACGCATGAAGGTGCTCGTCGTCTGTGGTTTGTCTCTCTTCGGCAGCAGCCGCAGCAAAGCACTAAGAGGGTCAGGACGAATCCTGAACAGGAAGTAGTACTAGTAGCTAGAAGCTACTAGTAATAAGGGCATCGCTACTAGTAGCAAGGGCATCGTTACTAGTAACAAGGGCATCGCTACTAGTAGGTAGAAACTAGTAGTAGCTATTTACTACTGGCGTCACATCGTATGTTGTGGACTCAATGACGACTGGTCTACTCTGAGGCCAATCGCCAATCTTCACACGTCGAGCCTATTGCAAGGATTGCTGCCGGTGCTGCACTGCACCTCAGTGTGTCCAAATTGCTTCTCTTGTCTTTCAGTCTTTAGTCAGAACGAAGATAAGAAAAGATTTTAAATTATACCAGCATAGACCCAGATAGCTAAGCAGAATCCCACGACCTCTTGACATGCGACTGGCTGGAACAAGAATGTACGCAGCCTGCACAGCCAGCTTACGGCACCTCCACAGCGCGCGCAACCAGCTGACACCAGCACCGGTGCGCTTTGCCAGCTGACAACACCGGCAGAGGCCGCCAGCACCCGACCAGCGCCGCCGACCGTCTTAAACGCGCGCTCAGCCAGCTCACAGCACCAGCACCCAGGATCACAACACCAGCACCAGCACCGACACACTTTTCGAAAGGAATAGCAACGCATGATCTTGCAGCACGTAAAAAAAGTTTATGCGCACAAAAGTATGCGCGCAAACAGCAAAGCCCGTAAGTGTCATTGGCCCAAGGCCAAGCAGTATCCAGCACGACTACTGTGTGTGTAGCGTGCTGAAACATGCTGAAACCATGGTCGGTTGAGAGCCTGACGTTGCGCACTGAACATTATAAACGTACAAAAGTATGCGCGCAAACAGCACAGCCCTTGACGCAGCTGTCGGACAAAACAGAACCTGAAGAGTGTCAATACCCCACAGCGCTGATAGACAAAGAACGTTCAAGCGACAACACTGTATGATGTTGCGCGCTTAATAAGTTCACGCGGCCCATGACTACCGGCACAATTGTCAGAAGCGGCGGTTGGTTGCCCTTCACAGCTACAAGCGGCAGTTTGTCACCCTTCACTGTCAGAAGCAGGCACCAGCACCGAGCACCGGCGCGCCAGCTCACCGCACCCAGCACCCGCACCTGCGCCGGTACCCAGCACCCAGCACCCAGCACCAGCACCCGGCACCCAGCACCCAGTCTCCACCACGCGCACTGCCAGCTCACAGCACCGGCACCGTGCCAGCACCCGGCGCCCTGATCCAGCACCTGTTAGCACCAGCACCACAGCCAGCGCCAGCACGCACCGGGCACGGGCACCCAACACCGGCACCCTGTCTCGAAAGAAGTAAGAACCCGATAGCTGTCGCTATCTCCAGCATAGACCGAGATAGCTAGGCAGAATCCCACGACCTGTTGACATGCGACTAACAGGAACAAGAATGTACGCAGCCTGCACAGCCAGCTTACGGCACCTCCACAGCGCGCACAAGCAGTTGACACCAGCACCGGTGCGCATTGCCAGCTGACAACACCGGCAGCGGCACCAGCACCCGACCAGCGCCGTCGCCCGTCTTAAACGCGCGCTCAGCCAGCTCACAGCACCAGCACCCAGGACCACAACACCAGCACCGACACCCTTTCGAAAGCGCGCGCAGCCAGCTCATTCTTATTTGCATTAAGAACCCCATAGCTATCCCTGTTTGGGGAATAACAACGTATGATCTTGCGCGTATAGGTTTGTGCGCACAAAAGTATGCGCGCAAACAGCAAAGCCCCTATAATTAAGTGTCATTGGCAAAAGAAGTGGGCACACCAGCTCACGGCGCCCAGCACCAGCACCCAGCACCGGTACCCAGCGCACACAGCCAGCACCCAGCACCGGCACCGGTACCTTGTCTCCACCACGCGCACAGCCAGCTCACAACACGCGGCACCCTGTCTCCACCACTCACAACACCAGCACCAGCACCGGCACCCTGTCTCCACCACCTGCACAGCCAGCTCACAGCACCGGCGCCAGCACCGGCACCCGGCACCCTGTCTCCACCACACGGACAGCCAGCACCCAGCACCAGCACCGGCACCCTGCCTCCACCACCTGCACAGCCAGCTCACAGCACCAGCACCGGCACCCTGTCTCCACCACACGCACGTCGTGCTCCATTTTGCATGCTGCTCTGGAGCTCCGCAGTGCCCTTCAACAGATCAGTGGTAGTATAGTGGGTTAGTATTTCCGCCTGTCACGCAGACACTGCCAGCACCCAGCACCGGCACCGGCACCCTGTCTCCACGTGCACAGCCAGCTCACAGCACCAGCACCGGGACCTGGCACCCAGCACCGGCACCCTGTCTCCACCACGTGCACAGCCAGCTCACAGCACCAGCACCAGCACCGGCAACCTGTCTCGAAAGCGCGCACAGGCAACTCATTGAAATTTGAAGTAAGAACCCCATAGCTTCGCTATCTGGGGAAAAAGAAGGTAAGGGCCCTCTTTGAATAGGAAGGCCTCTTCAAAGCGGCCTGATTGAAGAAGCCCTTACCTTACCTTATGTGTTTTATCTGTTTGGACAAGCCAATTCAGGTCTGGGCCCAACAAAAAAGCTCTTCCACTCTTCTTCGCTGGAGTCTGGCGATGGAAACTCCTGCTCTTCTGGTGGCTGGAAAGTTGGCGTGGCCGTTTTCTTTCGAGACTAATGTGTTCCTTGATATGCAAAATGCCTTGAATCTTCGGTCTTAATGAAGACTTCCCTTGGCTGTGAGTGATTTGACTTGTGGGTCCCTCCTTGGTCCTTTGGTACGTATTGCTGCATTATACGTAAATGTGACTAATGTGTCTGTGATGAAAACAAATTACTACTCCAATGACAATGCGTCGGCCCCATCGCCACATTCCTTGCCCAGCCGTTGCAGCGCACCCACCCACCATGTTGCCTGAAGACTCCAACAGTCTTGGTTGACTACTCATGCAACAAAGCAGTTTCACACCAAGAGTTAGATTCAGCGTGTCGCCCCAAAGATTTCCACAGTACTCAAAAAAGTGCGCCTCCCATGGATGTCGCACAATCGGTGGGAGGGTGGGAAAGGCTGGAAGTTCCATGGCAACACCACAGGTCCAACGGCTTGGCTTGTAAAAACTGTTTGATAGCTTGGGCCAACGCTGAACGAATGAAGATGAACTTTAGTGCCTGCTGATTGGGACTAAAACGAAGCACTTCTGCAGCTACAAGTTTCACACAGCATCCCTGGGCGCACTCATTGCTTGAGAGTTGGCGCTGGAACAAAGCCTCACAAGTCACAAGACTCCAAACCATCTAGGACAAAGCAGCCATCTAGGAGAATGCAAGGTTTGGGGCTTTGGGTTCAGGGTTCGGAATAAGTTCAGGGTGTTTGGTTGTGTTTACCAAAACATTGCACGACAGCGAAGCTCAGGGTCTTCGGCCACAGTAAAAGACTTCCCGAGCAGGTTCCGGAACAGGTCGCAGAGCAGATTCCGGAACAAGTTCAAGTTTCTCAGCAATTTTGCCGTTGCGCCAACATGCTGTTGGGCTGACATTGTCTTGGCATATTATATTAATGCTGACATGTCATCACGCTGGCATGGTGTCACGTTGATGTGTCGTCACGCGGTCAAGTTACTATGCTCGTATGGTGCGTGCTGTCATGTCGGCATTTTGACACATCGTCACTCTCGCGCGCTGACTTGCAAACATAATTTCGTGCTGACGTGCCGTTTTTGCTGGCATGGTGTCATGTTGGTGTGTTGCAAATGTTGTCACGCGGGCAAGTAGTCACGCTGTTAATATGCTGGCATGATGTCAAGAACAAACAAAAGCCAAGAGAAGTTACCAAAAGGCAAGCGCCCACAGAAGTTACTTCCCACGCTGGAAGATTACCACGATGTTTGTCTGCGGAGCCCCAGGTGAAAGAAAATGAAGACAAACTGGCAGGCAGATTTCGCGGCATGGGAAGGGGATCGGGAGGGAGCGAACAGAGCCAAAGAACACACACAAGTCGTTGAAGACGAGGCAAAAAGTTCCCTCTACATCCTCTACACTTTGCCCTCGGGCCCTCAGGTGGCCCTAAGTTGGAATGGCCTGTCCCAATTCAAAACTTTACCCTCGTGTTGCCTACAAATAGCAGAGCTGAATGATTTCTTCCTGCTCTTAACTTTCCCTTGGGCGGCCCACAAAACGTACGTTCCAAGTTAGAATTGTTTCTCCCTGCTCAGCCTGCTCTGAATGGTATTTACCCTCAGGTGGCATACAAAAGGTGTGTGGCCCACAGGCGCGCTACGTTGGAATGGTTCCAGATTTTGCTCACCGAAGGGAGTCTACAAAAGCTATGCAAAGTTGCAATGGCTCCTTCCGCTCTGAGCTTTTACCCTCAGGTGGCCCACAACCCTCCTGCTCTAAACTTTACCTTTGGGCTGCTCTTCCTTCCTTCCTTCCGTCTGTCCGTCCGTCCATCCGTCCCTCCCTCCTTCCTTGCTTGCTGACTTGCCTACCTGCTTGTTTGATTTGTCCTTCGTGAGCTAACTGCGTCCTCGAAGTACCCTCCCTGTAAGAAACGATGATTGTCGACTTCCGACTACCCCCATCAAATGCCCTGACTCCTAAAGGGCATCGCATAAAGCGCCACTTCGACTCTCCTACTTCCCAATGAGTGGTGTAAGCCGGTGTAAGCCAGTGACACTGACACACGCTCCTTTTCTTGTCATGCTACCTTCTGTACGCAGTTGCGAAAGCACAGGAACGTGTTGTAAAAGTTTGTGCAAAGGTGGCAAGAGCCTCAATACAGAGATAGGCAGGCCATGAAACCAACTAAAGGGCCTGACAATCATCCAGGCAACCAGTCAGGGAGAGGCAACCAGAAATGAGTCCAGGAGGCTCACAAGTTTAGAAACAGGCTTCGCATAGGAGTAGGGGTGGACAAGAATGTTCTGATTAAAGAAACTGCACTCTAAAATTGATTGTCCAAGCTAAGCCGGCCCAAAAAAAGCATCTGTGGCACACTACTCGAAAGCATCCCATTCAACCTCAAAAACCTGAACTGTAGATTACTTTAGGATAACAGTGGAAACAAATCTATATAAAATTGCACGCACTAATTAATGGTGCTGAGGACATGTTTGAGTTGCAGCACAATAGCTCTAGCTGAGGTCTTTATCGTTTGCGATGGATTGAATATCCGGCATCGTGATCTGCGTCCGGAGGGTACTGTAGATGATCTGGGAGCGCAGGGTATAGGGCATGAAGTGGTGCGCTTGCAGTAAGAAAGTACCCCAACGGTGGAAATCAATCGTTTGTCATGCCTTTCACGGACATGGTGCAAGTGCATCATGAAGTGGGCAATTGGGCTGGTATGATGATTTGAATGCTCGGTATAAGAGATAGAAAAACACATTGCAAATTGAGGAATTGTTGAATATGTGTGTGTATATATATATATATAACTACGTTGGATCCTCCTAAACATGTACAAATTCAAGGGGGTCAAAAAATTGAGTGATCAGTTCGTTAACGAACAGTCTGGGTTGGGACTCAGATCAGAAAATGTTTTCTTCGTGTTGTCTTTCATTAAAGCACGGGATTTCACCACATGTTACCATCTGCTGAAGAGCAACGGTGGCAGGAAAAGGAGCAGGTTGCAAGTCGGGAGAGAAGACAAAGGGTATGTGAGTATGTATGTGTGTGTGTTGTAAGTTGTGGGTGTGTCAGTGCGAGAGTGTTGGCACTGCGCTGTTGCGCGCTTCCGTGTGTTTGTGTGTGTTTGGTATATGTGTGGACGTCTGTGTCTGTGTCGGTCTGTGTCGTGCCCTGTGCTGAGTTGGGTTCTGTCACTCTGAGGGAACCTCAGATCAAGTACAGATTTGCGAATGCTTGAGACCAATGGAGAAGTGCGCTTCTCACGCCGGACGCTATGCGCTGCACCTGCCACGCAGCTTGCAACACAGAACGCGGGTGATCATCCGCCCCCGATGCGTACATTGGACCCCCCCTGACCACTCTAAAGCGCTGCGCCTGCGTCCGTGTGGCTGAGCCGCAGACGTGTGATATCACTTGTTCTCGTTCTTGTTGTTGTCGTCGTGGTGGTGGTGGTGGTGGCTGGGAGTCCGCTTGTATGACACTTAGGGACACGACCTCCACAATTTTGGATTTGCAGGGCGTATTTGGTGGAGGCCTGGGAGGCCAATGGGGGCAGCTCGCTGAAGAGGAGAAATTCCAACTCTTCGATCGGGCTATTCTTCAGACCATCCAGAAGGCAGACGAGAGCAATGACCCCTACCTCACACGTCACGACAATGCTTCCGAAGAACTCTTGAATGCAGGAGTGAAGGAGAAGACATCAAGGGCCTATACGTCGCCAGATAGCACGGGAGGCCAGCAATCAACCGGTTGCTTTAGTGCACCTTTATGAGCTGCATTTGAGTGATCTCGTGAGTCCTTGGCTTCGATGTCACGCCATGATCACGGCATTTCAGGAACGCAACGGTCCCAAATGTTTTTCGCTGACAGGCTGATTGATTGTGCCAAGTTGCTAGGTCACTTCAACCACTTGTGCTTCGAGGGCTGCTTTCCAGTTCCGACCTTTGTGAATGATCCTGCGTTGGGATGATCATGACATTGTAGCTGGAGTTGTTCACTTGGGCATTGTCGGGCTGCAAGTGACTCGCCTGATGCACAAGACCCCGTTGATCGCGCTGGCCTCTGACCCTCCGGCTGCACACCAGACCTCTGCTGGCCTCCCCAGGCCCGGCGCTCTGTTGCTGATGGCTGCAGACACGGAGCTGCAGCGCGGCTAGTGCTAGCGGGCGCTGAACTGAGGGAGGACGCAACTTTTCCATCCTGCACTCAGATGAGGTTCAGGTGAGGTTTTGAATGGTTTTGAGTTGATGAATTGGCGACATGCCATGAACAGCTGCGCTAGGACTCTCACGAGTCCAGTCACACTGCTGACTGAAGGGTGGCCCTACTCACTCTTGAGCGCGCGGTGAAGAAGAAGAAGAAGAAGTTGTTTTTGTTGTTGTTGCTTTCTGTGTGTGTGGAGGGGCGGCGGGGCGGGGCGGGAGAGGCCGGGCAGAGGGGCGACGGTGCGGGCAAGGCCGGGCGGTCAGCACAACAAAACAAAACAAAAAAAAGACACTGTGGAGGCCTCAGTTTTTCCACGGTTTCAAAAACTCGCATGTTCAGCTGTTTTGGACAAATGTCAAAAATATTTAAGAGAATCAAAACCTTTTTGCGTCTACTGTAAAGAGTTATTTTAAACAAATGTATTTAAGTATATGTTTTGATGGAGACGGGGGGGGTCGCCTCCCAAAAAAATCGCGACCACCCCTTTCAAGCAGCCACATGTACTTAGCAAAGTAAATTCTAATTATCTATTTATAGTTCTAATTGTCTAATTCACCCCCACCCTTGCGGGGATCCACCCAGATCTTCCCCCCCTGGCGGATCCGCAGGTGATGAATCAATGTATAGTATACATATGTATATATATATATGTATATATGATGGGAATCAATGATTGTATTAATTAGCCCAGCTGGAGACCCCAATAGCAAGATACAAACCGGGACAAAAAGAACAATCTGGAAACAGCTGCTGTTTTCAACACATCGACCATCTCTTCCTTGGACACCATCATCACATAACCGGGACACCATCACAAAATGACCAGGGCACCATCAAAACATGACCGAGACACCGTCACAACACGATTGTGACACCATCACAACATAACCGGGACACCATCACAAGGTGACCGGGACACCATCAAAACATGACCTGGACACCGTCACAACATGAGCGAGACACCATCACCACATGACTGGGACACCGTCACAACATGACCGGGACACAATCACAACATGACCGGGACACCATCACAAGGTGACCGGGACACCAACATGACATAACGGGAAAACCATCACAAGATGACCAGGACACCATCACAACATGACCGGGACACCGTCACATGACCCGGACACCATCAAAACATAACCGGCACACCGCCAAAACATGACCAGGACACCATCGCAACAGGACCGGGACACCATCAAAACATGACCGGGACACCGTCACAACACGACCGGGACACCATCAAAACATGACCGGGACACCATCACAACATGACCGGGACACCATCAAAACATTATAGGACCGGATAACCCCACATGTGAACAACTTCGAAAGATTGAGGCTGCAGGGGTTAAGTGCGGAAGAGTGAGCATGGGGAAGACAGGCGAAACAGATATAAGGCGTGAGGGTCTCTGTGTGTACGTGAGGTGTGTGTGTGTGTCACCCTTGGAGTCATAGGGATGCTTTTGCATTTGCTT